TGGAATACACAACTTGCAAGCAATACCGGTTCTTAAGGGTATTTCACGCGATTGAGGGTTCAAAAAATAATGGCAATGGTCGTTGCGGGGAACCGGCATCTGTTTTCTCAGCAGCACGACGTCAGAAAAAAATAGATGGATGGTGACATTGTAGTTAAACTGACATAATAGCTCCTATTTTCGATAGTAAACAAAAAAAACCAAGGAGTCTGGCAAAAATCCGGCTTCAAAGTTGGTTCACAGCATAAGGTAAAAGGGGGCGAAAATTCGTTTCAGGGATAATTTCAATTTCAGTTTTTTGAAGATATTTGACACCTGGTGACTGATGGCTCCCCAGAAAGAACAAAAGCATCACAACTAGCTTATTTGGATTAAAATTCACTTAGGTGGGCGACTTAGTAGTTAACAGGTACCCTTCAAAACAAATGTTTGGAGTACTGGCAAGTGTACTTAGTTACTAGTATCAGTTACTTAATTGCCAACCTAGTAGTAACTCTTTTGCGGTTTCACTTGATAGCTCAAACATCTGTCAACAAAGAAGTGCTCATAGTGAGGCAATAGGCCGGCGTGTGAGAAAAAAGTTTTCGCACCTACACCACCTACAACACACAGGGGGAGTTTCCCATTGGGCAAAAAAATCTTCCTTATTTGTGTGTGGGAAATGCATGGAAATGGCTATGCATTCATAACGAGTGTAATGCCCTACTTCTCTGCTCGAAATGCTAAAGCATAGCGAAATTTCCATTATTCTACTCCGTGTCCTTTCCGGAATAATAATTTCCACGAAAATATTCAAATTAAATTGCAAGTTTTTTTTATCATTACGAGATCAAAGTCCTTTAATTTCCCCGGCTCGAAAAATGCTTGGCCGGGTGCATTCGATGCTCGTTGAAATAAAAGCAGAGAGCCATAAAGTACGAAAAGCTCGTCAGCATGCACGGCCTGGATGGCCTGGGTGCAAGATAGATGGAATTAAACGAAATAAACCCAAAAAAACCAACGGAATCTTACAAGTATATCAGAATATTTTACTAGTAAGGAGATATACAAGTGAACAAGTGAACAATAAGTAAGTAACACTAAGATGATGTTCGTATAAGAAACATTGAATGTGTAGGTAGAGTCACCCCCTCTCAACGGATGACTTTACACTGTGGGTTGCTAAGCAACAATATGATTGCAATGAAACAACAACAACATTCCTATCGTAAATAATAACAAACATCCCAAATATCCTGTACGATAGAAGAATATAAAAGGTAGCATGGCTGTGGAAGAAAACCCGATTCGAAAATTGAAAAGTGCAAGTCACCAACGCGCAAAGCGTCCGAAAAGAATTGCGTCGCTCCGTCGCACTAATGCTATTTAACGCGTCGCTATACGAGTACGAACTGATTGCATTCAAATAGTATCTGGTTTTGGTAATTACTAATTGATATTACTAGTTATTGCAGAACTGCTGCAGTCCCAATATATCCATCTACGAGCGGTTTGATGCCCTTATCTTTAGCTAGCTAGGGAGTTTTCTGCTGAAAAAGAGCGGGTCGCGTCAGTTCAAGGTTGACTTTTGGGATGAAATGTTTGCGGTTGACTGCATCAGTAACACACACACTATGCATACAAGTAAATCAAAAGTATGTAAATAGTATCGCAACAGTACTGAGGTGTTACAGTAATTAACAGGAAGACATTTAGAGAGTAACAATTAAAGAGCCATAAAACAAAGCCAGCAGCCACGTAGATGGGAACAATGCGCGTACACCACCAGAATTGGGGCCTGGCAGCATATTGAACTGCTGATGCATAAAGCAATTCCCCTAGCGGGACTCTCCCATGAGGTCGTGCAGGCCGGAAATCGATCGATCGATAGCGGAGCGTTCATAAAACTTCGAATACGTACATTGTAATAATGCTCTACATTACAACTCATGGGTTCGGACTCTACGTCCCACAGCTTTGTGGGGTCCGCTCATTCAAATCTCTTGACAATCCAAATATGAACCACCTTCTGTTCATTTTTTGTCCGCGCTATTTGTTTTAACGCTAAATATGTGATCTCGGCCCTTTCTTGGCTCATTTTTTTTCTGAGGACCATCCATCACCTTTAAGAAATCGATCGCTATCGTTTCAATAATGAAAAGTGAAAGTACTGCAAGCTGTATCATCCCAAAGACCTCGATTAATTTTCTTAAATAGTAGTAATGAATCTTACCAGCTCGATTACATTCTTGTAGAAACCCCAATTTCTTCAGTCACGACAATGCTTGAAAGGATTCATCTATGTGCCCATTTTTCTCGTTCCAACCCCTGAAATATATCAAGATTCTGAGTAATAAAAAGCTACTACCACGCAAATTGCTTTACTTTGTAATTAACAACTTTAATCACATTCTCGACTGAGCGCTTGTTTTCTGCCTTCTTTTGTCCAATGTTTTCTCCAGTGACCATCATAGCTTTTGTACTCCTTTCGTTACCATGGATCCGCATTTGCTTCATTGTTACGTAAACATCATAGCTCAGCTTAGGGCATTCTGTCATGGAAACCAAAATTTTGCTGAAACAGCCCGAAAAGTTTGCGACGCGGTCCCGAAACGATGGCCCTGGTTTCCACGCTAGGCGGCAGTCAGCCGCTGTGCAACGTTTACACCGTATGTGTTGGCATTTTGATTGGAGTTTGATGTTGTTGATCTGGTGCCGGAATACTTTTGCATCTTTTGATCGATGGAGCTTTCGCGTTGTACTTTGTAGTTGTTCTGTTATCTCTGGGCCGGCAAGTGGTCATTCATACCTGATTTTCTTGTAATAGTATTTCTTGGAGTACTTCTAAGTAGCCCTCGTTGTTTCTTTTCATATCTTCCTTGCTTTCATTCATGAATAACTTCCTTATTTTGTACTATGATATGTTACTCCACAAATCTTCACTAACCTTTTGTCTCAGTAACATTTCGCACATTGTTTGCTCAAATGTAATCGCCCATTTCCCTTTCTAAAGTCTGAAAATTAACTTTGTTTAGAAGGTCCCGATCCAAACAAACAGGGGTAACAATGAATATCTTTCGGCTCGCCGCGGATATGTCGCATCTTATTGCGATACTTATCCTGTTGGCCAAGGTAATTTCTAACTTTTGATAATTCCGTTTGAAATTTTCTCTTTACGGGTTTTTCATTACTTCTTATGTTGTTTTGTTAGATGTGGAAGACCCGCTCGTGCTCTGGCATTTCGGCTCGTTCCCAGATCCTTTTTGCCATTGTGTTCACGGCCAGATATTTGGATCTTTTCACGACCTTCATTTCAACGTACAATACGGTTATGAAGGTTAGATTATCTAGTAGTTTATGTTTACTGTCTGTGTTATCATTTGTTTACCTCGTTCACAGTGTTGTTTATTTGATGAGCTCAGTTTTAGGTGTTCTTCATAATTTCTTCATATGGTACACTCTACCTTATGCTTATCAAATTCCGTCCTACCTATGAAAAAGAAAGTGATAGTTTCCGTGTTGAATTTCTCCTAATCCCCTGTGTCCTGCTATCACTTCTTATTAATCATGAATTCACTACAATGGAAGTCCTATGGACGTTCAGGTACGTATGGGACAATTCTGGCTGTACTTACTGGTACTTATATGTTTAAGTTCTGTTTATTTAGTATCTATCTGGAAGCCGTTGCAATCATGCCTCAGTTGTTTATGTTACAAGCAACCGGATCCGCTGAAACTATCACCGCTCACTATCTGTTCTTCTTAGGCCTCTACCGCGGTCTTTACATTCTTAACTGGGTTTACAGGTAAGTCGAGATGCAATGATACAAGGTAAATTGCCATATTTTTTTACAAGTTCGAAAACGAATCGAGGTTTGTTCCCTTTTCCAGCCCTATGAAATAATTTTTTCATGGTTGATCATTCGTAGTGCTGAAGGAAAGAAGTTATTCTTCTAAACACAGCCTTCAAAACTTGCACACTCTTTTTGGAATTAATCCAGTTTCAGTTGTTTACTTAATTTCGCACTAGTCTTCAAATTGTTTACAGAAATAGTTTGCGATGTCTTTTTTGTGATCTGATTTGCAATTCAGCAGAAACCTTCCAAAATGAGGAGCATAGAAATCGAAGCTTTCTTCTTCAGCTGGCGTTGTATCTTGTTACTGGCAATCTGATACTAGGGTTTTTCAAAATAGTAGCTAACGACTGTTAGGAAATAGAGACCTGCATTACCTTTGAGCAAAGCATTTTTGAGAAAAAAGGGGAAATTCCTTCTTAGAAGTAGAAATAGGTTTTTTACCTACCATTATAAATTTGTGTATGCAAGGAACGTTCTATGATACTTCTACTTCGAAGGAACTCAATGGTATTCGGTCGAAAACAAAAAACAGACTTGACTTGGGTGGGTACGATTTTCTTGGTCAGCTGCACAAGCAGAATGCTCTGCAGCTCTTCTTTTTTGAAGTCTGTAATACGTTTATAAAAATAGAAGTATCGTGTAGGTTGTAGATAGCACAGCTGCAAATGGCATGTGCTCCCATGCTCTCTTTAATTTCCCTGGAGAAACACGTCAGACTTCGTCATTTTCCCATTTTCGCTAGGATTATTGAAATAAAAATGCCCCCGGAAAAGTGCAATCAAATTTCATCTTTTGAACTCGATCTTGCACATCGGAATAAACTTCCTATGCTCCCTCTATCTTATAGGGATTAGTAACTCATGAACTAGAAGTGCTACCACTTATGTCTATAATGTAGCTGAAGGCGTAGCCTTTTCAGCAAATGAAGCTTTGTATTTCAATGATTTGTAGTTGTCTATTTGATGCCCTATTGTGTGGTAAGATGGATGTGCTCAATCAAAGACCTAATGGGCTTTAAATTATTGGAGGGCTTAAGTCGTTAAGACCTCTTTTCATTTCCGATTTCAGTGCTTAAAGCTTTCGGCCCGATTTGGGAAGGTTCTGCTGTTTGTTTAGCCCTCTATTTTTGCCTAAACTTTTGGTTTCAATTTATCTTTTGATTTTTTTGTTTGTATAACTATGGTATGGTAGGGGAGTGAAGGTGGGAATAATTCGAGAGTTTGAGATAAGGATAATATTGAGTGAGCTTTTTTCTACATTTCTAATTATTCGATTTGCCTAAAGGGTTTTTTTGCTCTGCAAGATGTCCATTTACTGAGAATGAACTGTTTACCTATGTAATTGAAGTTTCTTTCATTTTATGAGGTAAGGATTAGAAATAGTCGCCTTGCAGCGCGACTGTGATCCCATATAGGTAAGCGCTGCGAATCAAGCCTGTTGTTCCGTTTTCTTTTAGGTTGGCTACTAAGTAAATGCGTATTTTCTAAGTACTCTGGAATTTCATATTCATACTAAACAGTTGCTTGATGTCTTCAAAATTATTGATAATTCTAGGCTAGGTGCCTGAGAACTTATAGTCGATATGTAACACATCAAACTTTTTATAAAGAGTTAGCTTTATTTTCCTGGAACATAACAATACCTTGTTAGCAACCGATTAACCTTTTCTGCTTTCTAAGCAAAGTTCTCTGCTGGAGTAATTACTTGTTTGCCCTCTAAATATATCGTAACTGATCGTCTCAAACAGGCGTATCTCGTATGAAAGTTCTGGGAAAGGCTCGCAATTCTAGCATAGATACAAATGGGACTCACCCCATCGATTTTCGATCAATGTGAACCCGAAATTGATCCGGCAAGGAGTTTTTAACATGTTTGCGATTCCTGTTCTCACGATAGCATTTATTTGTATGTATTTATTCGACTGTTTGCAGTAAATAAACTCCAGTAAACATATGATTCTTTGTATTTATTTCATGATGGAACATAATCCGTTTGGTTTACTTTCAGATACTACACCGAATCATTCTTCGATCCAATTGCTACTGTGGCTGGAGTTGTACAAACTGTTCTTTATGCGGATTTCTTCTACCTGTATGTGACCCGTGTAGTGAGAACGCGTAAAGCCATGGAGCTTCCAATCTAATGAAATTTTTGCTGGTCTTTTTTTTATTCCTCCAATAAGAAACTATTCAACTATCCTAGCCCCAGTTTCGCTTTGGTGTAGTATATTTATTTGGTTCTAAATTATTATGTCTTCAAATTAATCGTTATTCTGTAAATCGAATTCATTTATGATGTTGAGTTTTTGAAATCATTCGTCCAAAAAAACCACCGGTTAAGAGGTGTCAAGTGCAATTGGCGGTTTGCATGTGTATGTCGACGTTGTACACAAACGTGTTTTTCTTTTTAACATGGTCCCGTTTCTCATAATGAGTTTTTTTTGCCTATTTATGATCTTGTTTTTCCTTATTTTTTGTGGGCTCTCTCTCTCTCTTTAGACTGCGAACGTATTGTTAAGCACTAGCGGTGGTGTTTTCCTATAGTTAATAAAATGACTTTTCTGCTTGATGCGAATATTTCTCGGTATTTTCACGATGTGATACCTTTGTGCACTTGAAATCGTTTTTTTTTNTTTTTTTTTCTTGTAAAGCGTTGTCTGTCAAGGAACGAGTTTACCATTTGGAACTGGAAACACCTCCTCGGTGCTTTTCGACGGTACTGAGCAAGTCCGATTGCGTCGCTTAATATACTAGAGGTTATGTCCAGGCCTTCGACGTCGAACTAGTTTGTCTGGCCCCAGAGGGTCTACGCCCTAGTCCTCCATAGGTGACTGTACTGTGCAGCGGCTATACTTTAGGAAATGTGTGGACCTCTTCTGTTAGGGATGAGTATCGACTGCGGGGGCTTGCGTGCGACGGCTTTTGTCTGTGGGAGTACGCCCATGGGTGATGCCCCCTTAGCTTAGCTTGAAGCATTGGCAGGACATTCGAAGCCAGACGGAAGGTCGTTTTATCCTATGTCAATATATCTGAGAATACACAAGTTCTACGGATGTTCCTTGCGATTTTTGCGTTTCAAGTCGTTTTCCAAGCCATTACCGTAACTTGGCAAAAAGTGTAACTAATGGTGACCGGTTTCAAATCCGTTGAATGTACACGTCGTAAAATTTTAATATGAATAGTTTCCAGTGTCGTGTTCTGCAGACATTGGAACGATGATCGTCGAGTTGAAGCGGTTTTTTTAGTGACGTGGTGGTGGGAGTGACTTAGTCGAGCTGGTTGAGCTTGAAGCCAAAGTTTTTTGTCGACAGAATAAGGATGCAAATGAACACTTTGGGCAATGGGTCCGATATCTTGACTAAATCGAAGATCCCACTGAGATAATGAGGCGCTCGACTTGCATCTGTCGTTTCTCGCTGTCTGGGATAGGTCTGGTCTTAGAAATTGTTGTATTTTGTGAATAAGAACTCATTCTGCGGGCGGTCTTACTCTGAAAGTTACCAGTATTTACTTGAATCGCCCTGGAGTCCGCTTGAGTTATGCTTCAGGTTTACTATCTACATCAATCGATTCATACTTGTTAGAACGACAACCTACTCTTGCCACAATTAGTCAACCTAATATTTTGTTCAGCTACTACTGCCCTTTATAATTTTCAATTGTTGTTGACTACCCAGTTTTTACTTAGCGGGTACGGGTTAGGCTTTTCTGTAAGTCGAGAACAACCGTGAAATGGTGTCTTCGGAGACAACATGGTGAGGTTCAGTGTGAAGTTCGCTTTTTGCCGAGAACATTCCTTTGAGTGCAGGATCGATTACAATCATCTGTGAGGTCGTTCTAACTTTCCTAGCAAGAAGGTCCACATGATTTTTGCAGCTCACCCCTCAATAAATCGGACTCAGTATATGATCCATCTTTCTTAATCTAGTAAATAGTAAAGGAACTTTTTTTGTCTTTTTTCTATTTCCTCGTCTTGTAACAAAAACCCATTGACGCTTGTCTTCTGCACTCTCGATGAACAGGTTTTTTATGATGGATGTGATGTACGAAGTGAAGGGAGGCGTTGATGTATGGCATGTTTTGCAAGAAAAAGCTTTGTTCTCTGAAAAGATTCACGAAACAGTTCAAAATACTTTCCAATTGTTCTCTTTGATTGAATTTTATGTTTTTTCGAAGGTCTCTAGGAGGTACAAGTGCTTGGACTTACTCGCTCTCTTTATTTCTTTCTATACTTCTTATTTTGGGATACACTGTAAGACATGTATTATTCAGACTTTGGTATGGGTGCTCAGGAAAGCACTGGAAGAAGGCAACAACAGGTGATAGATTTGAAAGATGATGTTCCACGTGACGCTAAAGCATATAAACTATGGAGTCATATTCATCAGGCAGTGAAGAACCAAAGCTTACCCTGTAAGTGCTACCTTTTTGTTTTTTTCTGTCAGTAGTTGAGAGTGATTTGCTGCTTTCTCCCGTCAATGGGCGGGGTTTCCGCAGTGGGCGGTAAACTTATTTCTTAGGCACGATTTTCGTGAAGAAACTTGATAGCAGTGATGGATCTTCGAAGTACTACGAAAATGGTATAAAGGTATGTTGACTATTGTAGTCAATCACTTTTGGGAACATTTTTTCAGATTGCCTCGTTTCAGTTACTTAAACAGCTTAAACATCCGTACATTTTGAAGTTTTTGGATGGGGCTTCCACAGCAAATGATGTGTCATTAGTTACGGAGCGCGTTCAGGTGCATTACTTTTAGTTTTCTTTATCTTCTGTTTTATCTTTTTATGTTTATTTATTTTTGATGATTATAATTGAGCACATTCATTATTGTTTTAGATGCTCGATCATTCGATCGAATCCCTATCAATAGATGAAATACAATCCGGGTTATATCACATTTTAGAAGCTGTTCTTTTCCTCCATACTAAGGTAGCAATAATCAATTTCATTAATGTGTTCTCCCTTTTTATTATAAAGGGTATTATTGGCAAGATTCCAGGCCTCATTATCTCACAATAATCTTACCCCGGCCTCGATTTTTGTTGCAAGTAATGGAGAATGGAAGCTTGGCGGGTAGGTTTGAAAGTCAATTCATTCTGGCAAACCCACTGGAAATAGTACCTTTTACAGGTTCGAATTCTCATCTCCTCTTCAGGATAGTCACAAATTCCTGCAGTCTCAATTCAGCTCTTCCGTCCGTCTACCTGAGTATCTGCCTCCAAAAGAGGTAATACAGTGCCGTTCTACAATTTTTTTTNNNNTTTTTTTTTCTTTTTCTAGCCTTGTAATAGTCAAAGAGAAGGATTCCGCCCGAATTCAGGTCTCATTGAATAAGGCCGGTACTGATCTAGTTTTCATATTCTAAAATATGAGAAAAAGGGACAGCGGTGGTATTCTTTATAGCAAAAGTCTGCTTTTTTCTTCGAGAAGGCCTCATACTGTTCGCGACTGCTTTTTAGATGTGATACTTACTTTGTCGGTGGTAGTGAAATCTGCGTTTCTTGGGAGTCAAGGGTTATCGAACCTTGTCTGGGTCGGCTCCACATGAAAAGAAAGAGTCAAGATCGCTGCTTTCCAGCTGTTTTCAAGTTGTAGTACATCTTAGTAATGTTATGGTTAAATAATGTGCAGATCGGTGATTAACTTTCGTTCAAATTCAGAAGTTTCTTTTCGTGAAGGTCACCTTATGTAGTGGGATTGAGATCCGTACTATGAGAAAAAAGGCTTGAGAGTACTGTACATTTTGATTTATAGTGCTCGTTGGAATTCCCTTACACTATCACTTTTTGAAATACAGTCTTTTTTCCAGAAGAAAAAGTCCGAAGTCTTCGTGAAATTGCTGCTCAATTGACTACTGGAGATCCTGCACAGCGAATTCAACTACATGTGGTCTTTGCACATCCAGCTTTATCCAATTCTCTCATTCAAATAATCGAGTTTTGTAATACTATTCATCTGAGGACTGATGAAGAAAAAGACGAATTCTTCAGGTAGGTGCCTACAGAGTTCTGTTATCACCCTGCTCAAAAATTTCTTAATGTTAATTGAATTCATTCTAAAAATCATAAGTACAGTTTTTCCATACAGGGATATTGTACCTCGTTTACGCTGCATTCCGGGTGATGTTGTTGCACGGAGGCTTTCCCGTTTACTTTTATCTCGTTATGTCCTCCTTGAAACACGATGCCAATCAGAACTTTATCCAGCTTTGCTAGTTCCTGCAGGTTATTCTTATTACTCACTTTGGTTCAAATTTCTTCCTAAGTTAGCCGGAGTTTGTGAAGCCCATGTAAGTGCATTAAGTCCCAGACCGTTCAGGAGATCAAAATGGAATTCTTTCCCGTGACCACTTTCAACGCCATATGATACCCGAAATATTGCGGTTGTTCAAAGTACGGTAGGTGTCTGGTGCCTACCTCGTATCCAACGTACTGTGGTTTATTTTATAGTATCGATTTCCACCTTTCCAGGGAGTCAGCGGTTCGTATAGTACTTCTTTCGCATTTCAATGGCTACGCTCGTTACATTCCTCATGAACGTCTTGTTGGATTTGTCACCGATGAGGTATGAGCCTTTAAACAATTTCTCTTGCCGGAACGTGGTTATGACTAGTTTCTCCTTTTGAAGTCTAGGCGTCTATGTTTTCCATTTAAGGGCGAAAACTTAGTGTTTCTTTTTTGATAGTCTCTCAGAAGAAATGTAGGGGTGAATTCTTTCGTAAGCTCAGTTGGTACGCTGAGCGCACTGCCAATTGGTGTCGGGGTTCAGGGTATTCGAGCGCACGCCCAATAGTGTGTTACCGAGGTACGTGCTTGCTGCCCAAAACCCAACCAATGAGAATTGCGCTAGGGCTATCTGATCACTATCACCGATATGCAGTATGCTTAGCGTATCCACTGTTATAGAATGAACTCGCACTATGCGCTGTTCCCAGGATAGACTTCTCATAAGCTCGCCTTGTGTGGGAACTTCTCCCCGAAAATGCGTCGAGCTCGCCGCATCCGGTCGCACGTAGTCGCGCGCTATGACGGGGAAGGTTCCTAGAGGAAGGAAACGGTTGCCGCCACAGAACTACTGCCGCTTGCCGTGGGTTTTCGGGGAGAAGTATCGTCAGTCAGCTCGTCGTGCATCGAAATGGGGCAAGATTCTTGACATATAATTCGGTTTCTTGGTTTCTGGCTGCTACACAACTGGAAAATTGTCCGCGTTGTAGTAGATGATGGTGTAAAATGCTTTGATGAACAAGTGATTTAGAATTGGATCTGAATAATCGATGAACTCCGGTATGACCATGGTGCATGTTTTGAGAGCTGCATGGATAATCCTTTAATCAGTCCATAAGCACTTATTCACTGCACTACCATATTTCTCACTCAGTTTTAAAATACTGCCGTATACACTTTGCGTGACGATTACCTTAGTGATCGCGCAGAGACTGTCACGGACAAGTTCACTTATGCAAGATGGGCGTGTCTCAAATACTGTAGTCATCTCAACGGTAAAATGAAGCTTTGTAAACAGAAAACAATTTCACATTGAGGTCCCTAATTGTTCATCAAATTTTATTTTGATCTTGCAGGTGATTCAAGGATGCTTTGACAGTGACAGTCAGTTGGTGGCTGCTTCTCTTAGAGCACTGGCTACATTAGTGGAGATTGCAGGTGCTGATGCAGTTTGTCCGTGGCCTATTTCAAAAACATTTGCCAACGGATCACCAATGGTCAGTTTGTACGGTTACTTAACATGAGGAAATTTTACTTATAGAGCTATTCTTCAAAGTTATAATACAAGATAATACTACATAATATTTCTACAAAATCACATTTAAAAGTTGTTTCAGGTTTTATCTGTAGCTTTATATTTTTCTAATGATGAATCTTTCATTTTCAGAGATCCCGTGCATCTGCGTATGCAACATCTAATTTCTTCTCTGTGAACTACGTCGATGGTACGAAAGTCAACGATGGAGCTGAAACCGAAAAGAAAGTTTCTGCTGCCGTCAGTGGTGATCAAACCGGGTCATGGAGCGACGAGGTGAGGGTTTCTGAGGGATCCTCTTTCGTCCTCAACATAGCGAAACAAGTGGGATGGTAGCAGTACTGATGCCGATTGGTAGTAATCTGTTCCTTTTGCTCAGGCGGTACTATACTACTTTCTTCCGGTCGCGGGTAATCATTTGCTTCTCACGAAAAGAATGTCTCGATTTTCTAGGTTATGGGCTTAAGAAATTTAGTTCCTACATCGAGTGTTTCCCATCGATCATCTCGACTTTTGTTCATTGTCTGAGAACTTCCCAAACCCTTAGTAGCCAGGCGTGCAGTTCTAGACAGTCGATTCCCTTGTAAAGGGTTCTGCACCACAAAACAGAACTTAACCTTCGGTTCATTGTGGTAAGGTCGGTCTAAGAAGTTTGCCACATATTCCTTATGACAATTATGATGAAGTGTTTCGGCACCAACTGGTTATATGGTGAGAGGTGTGTGGTTTTTAGGGAATCGCAGATTGGAACAATGATTCGTCGTGGTCAGCTGATTGGAAAGGAGACGACAAGTCAACATCTGATCATGAACCAGAACCTGCAAAGGAGATCCCTGACGTTGTTGAATCCCACAGTTCCACCTTTAGGGTGAACACACCCCCTGATTCTAAAAAGGGCATAGGTGAGTTCAACAAAATAGTTCTCTGCTCTGCTCTCTCAAACATTTTTGTTATAGTTTTACATAGTGGTTTCACTTTCTACTCTTCAGGTAGCGAATTTGAGATCAGCGTTCCGACGCAACGAAGTCTTGAGGACGAACTGCTGGCCGATCTTACACCGAAAATTACCACTAAATCTCTTGTCGATCAACTGAGTACTCTTCAAAGCACAATCAATGCGGTATGGTAAACGCCTAGACCGGCTTTAGCCTATTCTCTGCAATGAATGCTTTTTCCAGCTATCTGCAGCCAAAAAAGTCCCACCGAAATTTGCTATGGTCGAGACAGTGGACGAAACTGAAGGATGGGATGAAACTATGAATGAGAGTCTCACCAGTGTTGAGGATGTTGTAATGGTATGCTCAAGAGCTAATGCTTAACACTTAACATGGGTGTTGGGTCTGTTTTGATTTTTCTCTTAAAACGTATCTGCCCCCAATACTTAAAGGATGTCAGAGCCCTAGTTCTTTCACAAAAAATCAATGGAACTGTGTCTGGCATACGACAGATTAGGCTCATCAAACAGCTTCGTATGCGATTGCGCTAGAGCTTTAGTAGGCTAGAATGAGTCGTAATTTGTACAACGGTATCCTTTAACCAATATTGGGAGTCAAGAAAAGTTGTTCAGACTCGTGGCGGGCTGGCGAATGCTGATTCGGGATGCAGCGCAGCCGCGCGCGAGTACGCCCCCTTTTCCCCTTTGCTTCACATGAATGGACGGAGTTATTTAGATTTTATGAGGCGCGCATAATTATAACTCCAGTGATGCGGTCCCTTCCTCTGAAGGCAGTGGCCCAAATGTGTCGTAACCATACTTACGATTCCAAGATTCCTAGATCGATACCTACCCATTTCAGTTGACTGACACTAGTTTTGTCGGTAGATCATGAAGTGTAATTGGAGTTCTGTGGTTACTCTCAAGCTTTGGCTTGTCCGGTCCTCTGCCAGTCCTTCTGGCCTTAAAATATGCCATCCGGTCTTTTAACAAACACGAATTATTTGAAATCCGGAGATGAGGTACTGGAAGTGTGAAGCGCACTTGATAAGATGGGTCAAGTTCGAAGTTCAGGTAGTCCTGCGACTTCTTCCACCCTTATCTCCTACTCCCTTCGCCTTTTTTTGAAGCTTGTTATCAGCGTATGAGACAAATGAGCGTGTTTATCGATATAAGCAAAGGGAAGGAAGATAAGTGCGGAAAATGGTTTGAGAAAAAGCGTGATCGTGGAAGGCATTGTTCAGAGTTGATCTGAGAATCTGAGAAAAGCTGTAGACACGTTGGACAAAATAAAAATAGAAACTAACGTGCTTGGTATACGCCATGCATTATCATCTTATCAGATCCGGGTGAATTTGAAGCATTACAATCCTTGTTAGGCTCAATTGTTATTGACGAGTAGCGAGACCGATCATTGTCGATGTCATACCTTCAGTGATGCCTGAACTGCGAAAGTATATTTGTGAGTGGTTCTTTCAAAGACCTTTACAATTGTAAAGTAAGCACTCCTAATACCTACCTTTGGCTAGGCTTACCTCGATGAGTGAGCAGAGGCGCGACAGTCGTAGTGGGAGAAGTTATTTGCACTGGTTCAATAACTTGTCAGTAGGGCTAGAAGTTGCCAAAAAAATAGATTCAATTAAATACAGAAGAAGAACGCTATATGGCCATTTCTGCAGCATTTCAAATTTTTCATATCGGCTCAGTATTGACTCGAATCAGAAATGCACCTTCAAGGCAACGTCCATTTGAGCTGAAAGTCGTCAGTGGTTCCTTGTACCCACACGGCGTGCCGCACTCGCCGCACCTCTTCACGGCAAGTAGCACAACAATTTCCGTAACATTCCAGTGGAAAGTGAAACGTCTCCTTCACGGCACGCACAAATCTGCCTTCAAGGCGCGCAACTACACGCCGTGAAGGGAGGATTCGACTTTCTAATGGAGCGCCACGGAAGTTGTCATAAAGCCAGTGCGGCTTGCCGTGAAGCCAGTGCGGCTTGCCGTGGAGCCAGTGCGGTTTGCCGTCCGTGAGAACTGGGGTACACAAACCGTCACTTACTGAAATTTTAAATCGAGACGAAATATTCAAGACTACACAGTGAATGGAGCAGACTACATAGCAATAAAGGGAGATAAGGTCTAGTTGTCAGTCATCTTCCTCACGATTGACAGGTGACTAGTTTCTTTGCGTTCTCCTTTTTTTTTACTGGGCTTGCATTTTGTCCAAGACAGCAGTAAAATTAATTTGATGGGAAATCGTTTATGTGCTAACAACGTCTATTGGTGTTTTGTTTGGTGTTGGTGTATGGATAAATGTGACTTTAGAAGGAGCAGAAATGACTTCGTGATACTACCAGTCTTGCATGCTGATGCCAATGTCTATGTGCCTTCCATAATCCAATTGACGTAATTTTTTACCGGTTTCTTGTTACTGGGGAACGTTCCGTTGTATAGTTGAATATAGTTTTATCAACTACGGGTTGATTGTATTAATAACATAAATGTTCATGATGTTCACTTAATAATGCATTGTTGTATTGGTAAGCCATTTATTTCGATCACTTCATTATTTACTTGTGGTGTACGGTTCTGTATTCGGTTAGATGTCGATTTTTGATTAACGAGAGAATTTATATGGTGAAGAATGTAAAGATGTCTAATAAAGATTTTTTCGGCGTAAAGTTATCGATTGTTGCCTATAATGGAGCTTCAAAACCTAGGAAACGACATGGTAATAAAGGTGTAATGGATTCTTTTAGTACCGTCGTTTAGGATAACTTTTTTCAAAGCACTTCAAACCTTGTGCAACGGCTTGGAAATGGGGCAACATGAGTGTCGTCATTCACTTTAAAATGTATGAATAAAATCTCGTTGACGACATCCCCATCGTCCTATTTCTGGTAGACGGCAGTCTTGAAGGCGCTGTTTTCACGGAAGAATGGAAAATTAGGTGGAAATAGACTGGAGTATTCAGTGTCTCTGTTTTAAATTAAATCTCCAAAGGAGTAGAAGTACGGTGGTCTTTGAAAACAAGATTGGCTTTTCGAACTTCACCCAAGTTGAACTCTGAAAGGAATTGTGAAAGAAAAAGCTGTCCCCTGAAGGCGTGGAGCCCCAAATTGCTGAGTGATAGGGAGTGACAAGGAGTCACCGCTGCCGCTCTTGCTAATGTACATAGGCCAGAAATATGTATACCGGAAATGCAAACTGATTCCTATTTGAATTGGTGAACCTGTTTTAGGCAGTAGTGTGGCCATGAATGCTGAAAAAAATCGTGGTTTTGGAGTTTGAGGCCTGTAGATATGAGCTCACAAACATTTTGATAGAACCAATACCAGTTCTGGCGATTGCAGTCCGATGATAGAAAAAAGGGTTTGCCGTCACTCCATGTTACTGGATGGGCCTTGTAACTGTATAAACTATGGTACCTCATGCACCTTTTGGAGTGTTAAGCCGCTGTTCTCAGACAATTACAACGCTGTATAAACGATTGAGTTGTCAATGTGACGCCAATTTGAAAAGGTCTAGTAAGAGGTCCTGTAATCTGGAAAGACTTACTGTGACGCGGAAGTTTTTCCGGTTTCGTCAAATTTTATCTGTAATTGATAACGAAATAAACATGTCCTCGAAGTACTGTCTATATTACTTGGTCTACATAATGTTGCCTTTACCTCTTTTTCAAGAGCCAATCCATCAAAGCCCTACCACTGTACCTGTAGTCCATTCGGGCCGATGATGGATTGGATCTGAAAACGGTAAGTTGTGTTTTGCCCTTCAACCAGATTTTAGAAGAGAAATGTCAATCTACAGAAGAAAAGAAAGAGAAGAAGTGAATGTTATTTTTCTAGAGTGAGCATTGGCGAAGTGTGGGGCATACTTTTGTCGAAAAAAAAAGGAATTCTGCTATTTTCCGCAGTTCTGATACAATTTGGAGAACAGGTAGCATTTTTCATTTCCATCCCAATGAAATGGGGTGTCTGGCCCTCATTCTCGAAGCTACTAGCATGAAATGCTGAGCCCTTTGCGTAATGGAATTATCTTTATTAGCACGTCATGCTTTTAGGAGATGATCGATGGACCAGAGCAGTCATTGAGTGGATACCTGTTGACGTGGAAAGAGCATCCAAACCACCATAAAGAAAGTCTACCTAGAAGACTTGAAAAGTTGTAGGGATGAATGGAGGCGTAACTGGTTTGTCCTGGAGTGAGTTGATGATCAACGAAGCACAAATAGGCCTATTTTCCACCTTTTTTCCACAAGTAGGTAGTAAAACCGGTGGATTTATTCAGCTACTTCTGCCACACTTCTTTGCTTCCATGAAGTTTAGATCTTTGTCATGCCTGGTCTGCAGACAACAGCTTATTGTTCCATGTGAAAGGGGCCTTGTTCTGTCTTTCAGGCGTATCGTTTCACCCTTGTTCTGTCATTCCCGGAAGCGCTGTGCAATCTCTACTCAAATCAATGTTTTCCTGTGCCGTAGTGGGTCCTCGAAGATGACCTCATAAGTTTCAACACTGTTTTTCTTATTTGCACCTCTTGCTTCGATCTACGCTACTTTTATGCTAAACCGCAGTTGTCATGTTACTTCTTCATTCAGAAAAAATTAGTCATAGTAATGCCATTTTTGGCTAATTTGTAGCCTTTTCTCGAACGATCTTTAGCCCTGCTTAGTTTTGAGCACAGTGGGCGTGTTGGTGGGAAGTAGAGCACCAACACTATAACCTCATCTGTGCTCTGCAAATAATTCTTTTCTAATGAATGGTTTGTGACAGTCAGATCTATGAAGGGTGGGAGTACGAGTGAGGAACCTATCTCAATTTTGTAGTTTTGCAGTCTAAAGTAAATGATGCTTGCAATGAATCTGCAGCCCGGTTCCCTCTCTCAAGCAGTATATTTAGGTACATTGTCATTTAGCTTCATCACTTTGAATTTGAGTCAAGTACCGCTCTTACTGCGAAAATATCAAATTTGAAAGTTTCGTAACTAATTTTTATTGATGTCTATGACGTCATTACTTTACATTGAAAGAAGCCATAAGAACATCAGCATTCTAAACTTCTGACCGGTGCCTTCCTTTATTCCTTTTCCTTTACTTGTGACTCGAGTGCCATTGTGAGTTGAAAATGAGTAGATTTAAGCCAATCAGTCACTCCTTTCTAAAGTTCACCAACTTTGAACACCTCGATCAGTGTTCCACACCGTTGTTTTCAGTTGTTAAGCTGAACTAACATTCGATCCTACAGACCACTAAGGTTTCAAGAGACTCCTGTAGCCCCTATGAAAGATCTGACTAATAAAAGAGGCGTTAAGGTCTCGCATTTCCCCCTCCTTGGCCAGGAACACCCAACAGAGTACTCTAACGAACATATTAGTCGTTCGGACAATAAAAGAACTCCTGTAGCAGTTGTGGCGCAACTTTGATAGTAAATATCAGTAGTCGGGAGAGGGACCGAATGGCTCAGCTGGCTGAGTAATGGGCATTGTTTTCTGAGCATAAATGTCGCATCAAGTCAAAGAAGCCCCGTTGCAAGAAGCCCTTGTTATCTAAATATTTTGACGAATTTAAGCTCTCCGGCTTAGTTGGTTTTCGTAGTGGCTCAATCGTGACTTATTTAATGAAGACTAAAAGCCAATGACAACAGACGTCTCTCAAAGTTTTCCTTGTTCGCATTGGACTCTCAAATTGAGATGATGACCAGGCCGTTTATCAACGTCCAGTGGCTGGCATGTATATGACGTGTGCCAAGTTCAGAACGACGAACATGATTGCTTTGCTGGAATTGCAGGACAGGAGATTCCACGGACAAGAGAACGCGTGATACTGAAGCTTCGTGTGCCGGTTGCGCTCTGCACCGCTCGCACCACTCATATACAAAAAGAGGTGCCCGCGATGGTACCTCCTGCCCTTTCCTTCCAGGAGGGGCAATATTTCTCACGAAAGTGGAAATTGTAGCGAATGGTTTATACGAATTCAATTGGGCGATGGATAAAAACTTGATCACTGTGCAATCTGTCGGAGTGAGCCGAGCTTTCTTATATTTCTTTAAGAAAATTCAATCACTCTAAAGCGCTTTCTAGCAAGAAAATGAACGACGCATATTTTTTCAAAGTTGCCGATGATCTATAATTAGTTACATTTTTGATTGCTCAAGAGACCCTTTGAAGTAATCATTTATGTTGATCGTATATTCTCTGTGAGAGTGCGAAAGCCGAAGAACGTTCACAGCATGACGAATCTTTCAAAACTTCTCTTAAATTCAATTGGTTTCAGTGCAGTCTCGAATAATGAACATGAGGAATCACTGTGGAATGTAAGCGGAGCTATTTGAAGTTCAACTTTGTGTACCAGTATTATTGCCCAGTGACAGACTGGATTCGCTGTGTTCGAAATCCCTGAGGTGCTACAAACCCATTCCATGGACGAATTTCTAGCCTAATATTTTTACTCTGTGTTCTTAATAAGATTTATTGGTCTAGATAGTGTAAACAACATGTTTATCGGTTTCATCTGGTAGCTCTACTTGCCGTTGTAACCAGTAGTTTGGGTTTTTGAGCCATGACTAGTAGGATTAGAGAACACTTCAAGTATACTTATTAATCACGTCCAGCCAATTATTTCTTGCTGTTCAGCGAACACAAATTGATAGGTCTGCTCGTATAGAAGAAAGCTGGAAGTCAGTGCTCATCATTAGTCGCTGTGGCAATAAATTTACTAAGGGCCGTGGCCACAGACGCTATAAGAAAACCTATGATCATCAAAGTATACGTGATGTATGTAAAGTGAGCAGATGTTTTATATGCGTCACAGATTCCCTTTTACTTTGAGTACGTATTTACTCGGTGAAAGGATTCAGAGCCTTCGATTTTATGATCCAAGCAGCGAGTAGATTTACCTGTCATTGATAACTAGTATTACACTTTGAATTTTGCAGCCCATTTAGGTCAGTGAGGGCTCAACTAAATGTTGCTCTGAAATGAGCCTAGCTCCAAACTCAGCACAGTAGGAGGTTAGAGGAGGAATGTTCCCTCTGCAAGATTTGATCCTTTGAGGTCGAGCTTGCCGGTCCTGGCTCAGGGGCCACTACATCAGCATTATACCACTTCTTTATTTTACGGTTTGTGAAAATAATGTACAAATGTGTTATTATCATGCTTTCCTGATTCGAATCAAAAAGAGTCTCGGCCATGCAATCCTTCCTAGATTTAGATTTTACCCCCTTGTTTTGGTATGTCTCGAACCGATGACGGGAACCGAAGTCGGGATTGATCTGTCCCACTTCTTAGTTTCAGTACACTCGAATCTGGTTTGAACCAGCCGAAAGGCATGCTGCCCGATTTTTTATGACAATTTTAAAGCCCGAAATTTATTGGGCTTCTTGTGGCGACAGGCGGAGAGCAGGAACTGATGTTCTTGACTTTGGAGGTTGTACTTTGTTTGATCTTTTGTGGTTACCTTTAATGACAGTAGCTATAGTTCCATTAGTTGTTCTTCGAAGGTGAAGATGGAATCGATCGTAATAAGAGTGAAATACCTTGTTGGTTAAATTGGTTAAGAACCGAACAGAAGCAGTTGGATTGAAATCAAAAAGCAGAAATATAAAATAAAAATATAATAAGATAAAGATAAGTATGACTAATATATTAATATAAAATAATAATATTATAAATATAATGGTATTTATAATTTAAAGATATAAATAAAAATAGTAAAGATAATAATAAGATAAAACCACAAAATATGGCGACAGTTATGTAAGACAATGAAACATGTTATGGAGGACTTTTGAAGAAGTTGTAATGGTTTTATTTTGTGAACAGGTGCTTTATTCATGATGAAGGGTGTGCAGAGGCAGAGATTGTTTGTTTTTATGTGATTACTACTTTTACAGCTTTCCATCGCACATGAAACAAGTACGTCATAGCAGAACATCAGAACAAGTACGTCTGGAGACGTCGATTATATCAAACCTTTGACAAAAAGTGGCAGTCAACGATAATGAATCCATGACATAAGAGGAAGGAAAAGTCATACGTCAACAGGTTCAGAAGGAGAAAGTTGCTGGCAACCTTTTTCTAGGAGGCACCAGGGTTCAAAGTTCATCCTGCATTTGAGAGATGAGTTCTGAGNCTTTTCCGAATACTCCTGCTGGAGACGATCTTCTGTATCGGATTTGAAGACGGTGGGCCGCATAGATTACCTCGGGGACAATTTCGATCCCTCATTCGCAAGGTTCACACGAACAGCGTTAACACAGTAGCAGGAGTTACCGGGTCGAATGATCGGATTCCATTTAGGCTGATCTATAAAACCCCTTTGTATTCGTTCACGGCTGGTTAGTTAGAAAACACCTGCAAAAGGAATAAAAACACAAATATCATACCTATTTTCAAATGTAACCATAGATCTATTGGTTTTTAGCCTAAGTCTAGAATTTGACGAATTTTCAAAAACCGTCGTACGGTCTAGACAATTCTGGGAACTAGTTTGGAAGAAGGAATCATCCATAGACTCTACGTAGAGTGGTATCTTAATGATGGGACACGCCCCGCCTCCTGGTGCTCGAAAATTACCAACTCTGCCAGAAGACGGCCGAACCTTCTAAGCTGTACGTACTCTGCTCTCTAACTCTGAACTTGTGACGTTGAACTTCGCTGAACTGAACTTTTTCCCTACAGTTATTAAAAATCATGGCCTTCAGTACTCTGTGGGAATCCACTATATAAGAGGTCTGGCCGAGGCTCGATAATCGTGAGCCTCATGCTCTCAGCAGTATGCTCCAAAGCCCCTCCTGATAATACCAGTGAAATACTCGTATCCGTTCGTTTCAGTATCACAAAGTGTCTCACTTGACTGTGCTCAAAAGCAGTTCCGTTAACAAGTTACCGAAGTTTCGGGCTTGCTTACCCGTCCGCTATGTTCCGCAATAATGAGCCATGTATTCATACTGGATGTTCAAATAAGTAATTAGCGGTTCTGTGTTCGTTTAGCAACTTCAGTAAAACAATTGAAGTAACCGAGAAAGTCTGCTAAAAATAAACTTCGTAATCGTTTCGTAGTACCTTTTACACTCGTCCTCATCCCAGTTCCATCTGAACTTATTTACCAGGATTTCAATAAATGAAGAAGAGCGATTTTACAGCTATTTGTAAGCTGATACTCAGGAAAATTCATTATACATTCGTAATGTTACTTCTTAAATGAAAGGTAAAATATACTGTACAGATGAACATCAAATCCCTTTTTTTCCAATTGAACAGGATTGTTTTTTTATATCTGATCTCTGCTCTCTTAATCACGAATTTCTGTTCAAAATACAGTATCCACAGAAGGAAGTTGAGACAATTTCGTTTCACCACCGAATTGCCTCAATTTCAAAACCGATACAGATGTAATGATGAGGGAGGCGAGATAACAAAAGTCTTACTTGTCTAACTGTTGACTCAGACAATTGCGTTTTTCACAGCAGTCTGTGTGGTTTGTTTAATTAAGCTGCTCATAATTTATTTTTTGAAGTCAACGTAAACACTTCTAGTTCCTGCTGGAATTGTTCATTCGCTGCAGTTTCATGAGGGAGAATGGGAACGAAGGCAAATTGAGAAGAGTTTTTTTGAGCTCTGAAAGGCTTGCAATGTTTCCTCAATTTGAAATCACTGCAATAAATCTTTGAAACTCCCTGAGAAATGATAGGAGTGACATACACAGTAATGGTGTAACTAGTTTAAAGTAATTACAGACCGAAAAAGTTCTGTTAAATGTGAGCACTTGACTAGCAACTCTAAGTAATCGGATGCGGAGATACAAAGAATATCTTTTTACTCCTTACTAAATACACGATCGACGATTTTGAGAGTGTTTGGGCTCCTGCAATCTTCCAAGTGCAAAGTTCGGAGAGCCTTGGGTTTGATCGATGACTATTGAACGAACCTTTTCAATTGTAATTTTTCAACAGAGAAGAGTTTAAAATGATTCCCGCCGACCACTTTTTGCGAGCTAAGCCGTGCCCTTAACTTACAGTAAAATTCATAGTTACCATACTTTTTAACATTTAATAGCAGCCTCTTTTTTCCTGGGTAAACAACAAATTTTTCTATCAGTCCTCTTCTTTTCTATTGTCAATCAAAAGTACCCAGCGAGATAGGTGGACTGGCAGGTTGACCTGGGTGGGTTCGGGTACTTGAACAGCGGCGCTGCTTTGATTAGTTGCACTTCTGCTATCCCGCATTCATATGCTTCTATCTTACTTCGCTATTGTTTTTTACAGCACAAATATCAATTTCAATTTTTTTTGAATGGGAGCCAAGATACTAGAACTGCCCATATGACCCTCGCTGTTATAGGGCCAATGGGGCGGAGTTTGATCATAAAAAGGAGGAGCTCGTTGCGTAACCAAATTCGAGAATTCAGAATCTCGATGAGGACGTTTAAAGTGTTTTCTCACGACAAAAGATTTCTTTCTACTGCCCTACTCTTTTTCTATACAAGAAATCCAATTCCTTCTGACATAAAAAAGCAGCTTGGACGAGCTTTCGTCGAACACTTCAGCCTCGCTTATTACTCACTTGTCGATTTTTGTGTTAGATTTGATTCAAAATTCATATTTTATAAGTGTTAAATTTTATGGTTTTCCCTTTTACTTTAAACCAGGTGTTCCTATTGAGTTTATAGCTACCCCTCAAAGATCGAAATATCCATGGGGAAAACGAAATAAGTTCTTTTTCAAGGTGAAGCGGGAAATGGTAGCCGTTCAGAAAAATATCTTAAGTAGGGGCCATGAAAGATAACGGGCGCAGGTGGTAGTTTATTAGTTCCATATCACTTCAACGCTGCTCTTCATTGTTACGCCTAAGCCCCCGCTTATTCAGAGATCACTCGGGCCGTCCATCATTTCTGGGAGCCCGTCCATATCTGATTAGATACTCTTCAGCATATTATTGGGCACAAATTCGGGAGTCTCGAAGAGCTCTACATTCCCGAGCATGAGGGGCCCGAATCCCTTTGCGCTAGCCCAAAACCCGAAAACACCTACAAAATCATTGCTTTTTAAATTTTACCTCTACCTTGGTATTTCGATTTTTTGCTTGTCCTTCCAGCACCTTCTCCTGCCTCGAATTCTCTACAGATTCCCTCTTGTCATCTCTTTGCTCTGTTCATTTCCCGGCTATACATGGGATGGGATTCCACCTGTGGGGAGGACAATGCACTCGGCTTTCTTCTACAGGGGAGGGAATCGCAGGGGTACTTTTTAGCCTTAATTCTATGTTATAAGGTGGAAATTACAAAAGTCACAATCACGACGGCATGAAACGTGGAATTAATATAACTGTTGGATGTGGGAACGGGTGGATCTACTTTTTTAAACCGATACCGGCCAGATAACCTTCCCCAGGGATAAAAACAGGGGATCCATTTCACTGGTTGGAAACGGGTGTTTTTTCGGAAAAGTAATCGTTCTGAATCTAGGATTACCTATCATTACCCGGTAATATACTGGTAATAAGTAGCAGGTAGAAGTACATTTTGAAGCTAATTGTTCGGTAATCAATCACTGCAGCTCTTTTCCCCAGCTCTGCACGAGTATCCGTGTTGCAACAATGCACCTTTGGAACTTAGCCTTTCTATTGATCATCTTATATGCTGACTTAATGACCAAACTGTACAAAAAGTCGATATGCATTCGTTACCTATCATCTGGGCTTCTGTGGGAGAATATGTCGATTACTGCGGATGTTTACTTGTAATCTGCAGACCATGCTTTTCTTTCAGTTACTAAAAATACTATATCAATCCAATTTGTCTGGCGCTCATTCGAATCATTCTCTCATGGGAAAGTAAGTAATAGTAAAACAATAGTAAAGGTCACCTCCATGGAGACAGTCTGTCTGTGTACTTTTTTCTCTACATGGATGTGATGAGAACAACAGCGACAACGTCCTCGTAACGAATTCTCGTCAAACCTAATCCAAATGTGAAATGTTTCAGGAAATGTCGATAACAGCCCTCCTGTTGCTCTTCCTGATTGAAGGTAATCATAAGTAATCTTGAAGAGTATTAGCTTCNTCAAAACTTAGCAGATATCAGAACGGCTATTCTATGAATACTGTAAATCGTTAAGGAATCCATGGTGATGCTGGATGGGGTTATAAGGAAGGCAATGGCCCTGAAACTTGGCAGAAAACTTGTCAAGATGGTTTCAGACAAGTAAGTTGGATTTATAATTGTTTGTTCACAGGTTATTGAATTATCAACAAACATCATTTGCGATGGTCCCCTCAGAAATGTTTCTGTTAGAGGCTTTCGACACAGCTTTTCCAGATAACACCCTTTCCTTTTTTACGCTTCACTCGTAGTTCCCTTCTCAATTTCTTCTTTTTTTTTGTTTCTTCACATTTGTTTTCTGCTTTTTTTTCTGATGGATATTCCTCACAGCTGTTCCCTCAACATAGTTGTTCTCCTCGACGATGTTTCCTTCTATCTCCCTTATGGTTTCCAGTACTTTCTAACATTTTCCTCGTGTTAATGCACTTGTTAGAAGACCATAAGGCTAGTTGATAAGCTCTAAAGCTATGTCACCTTTCAAGCTCTACTTCCCCTTTCCGTTGCTGATGGGAAACGCTTCCGAATCGTGTTAGCGTAATACAACATATTCGCTAACAAGTATACTTTATTCTACTTCCTATGCGGAACCTCATGACTCGATGGCTGCTAAGTAGATTTCTCAAGAAAGAGACTTTCAGAAGTTCTCGACTCGATGATACCACTGGGCCCATTCATACATTCAAATGGGCTTTAAGAGTTGCTACTTACTTGCCTATGTTTAAAGGATGGATGTTCACCTATGTAACTAGTTAGTAGCCCGAAAAACTTTATTTCTGGTTCTTGGAAGTAGGCTGTACGAAGGAAAAACCATTTGATAGAGACCTATGTGGCTCTGCCGTTTCAAGGGTTAAGGGGAAAGTTCTATCTGTCGAAAGTAAACCTATACATGTACATTACTATAAATATAGGTAATATGCCCTTGAATAAGAACTGTAATCCGGTTTACTTTTACGAAAATATCGAATCCATTACTTCTTTGAGAATTATGCTATTTGCTGACCGAGTGCAATCGGCTGAGCGTCACAAAGGTGAGGACGTCAAAAGACCTCTTTTTCCCTCATCGAATTCAGAGAACTGCTCAGTGGTGGTTCGACATTCCAACATTATGACCAATAAAAAGGCAGAAGATGAATGAACTTGCTATGACGTAGTGAGGACGGTTTAAAACACTTGAAAGAAAAAAAAAAGAAAGAAAGATCTGTGATAGCTAGAGATACTTGATCGATGCCGCCTTCATAGATTTTCTCATTACAATTTTCTCAAGAGTAAGTAATGTCGTCAGTTTACAGCATAGAGAGCNGTAGGAAAAAGTGAAGAACAAGCTCTATAGCATTACATTATCCTTGCTCCTCGCATTTGCTTGACACTCGAAGCAAAAGCATGAGGAGAGGGTTCTGTTAGCTATCGGAAAGACAAGGGAAGCTTGACATCGCTTCAAGTAATCTGTCTGTCCACTGCCTGGCAGTTTCAATGCCAGTAATAGAACCCCTACACAATTTAAAACTGGATGGGCTGAAAAAACCCCAAAGTAAAATCCAAATCCAGGGAAGTCTAAGCGTACATCTAGGATTTCTCATGACCCAGCTGATCAAAACGTTCCTCCCATGTCGGCTTGGAAGTAAAAGAAATCGATTCAGGCAACTTTAATGCTACTGAATTCATCTGTTGAAATTTGCCTGTTTTTTTTCAAATTACACTTACAATGAGGATGAAAGTTTGTTCCATGGGACCAAAGAGTAATCGAGCCCGAACAGTACCGCCGATAAGGGCCGTTGTGATAGGAGGAAAATAGATAGCGGGATTCTGTAAGCTTAGGGGATAAGATGATAAGATGACAAGTGAAGGTTACTTTTTCCACATAATCAGTGGCAGTGAGTTTCTATTGTGACACTTAGGTTTACAACGAGATTCATATTATTCTGTTGAGAAGAGCTGTTGGACAGCAATCACCTATGGGTGAGTGATTGTGCTGGAAGTCTAACTGACAAGTGTAATCCTCAGGGAAAAATTGCACTAACAAGCGCTCATTGAAGTGAGTTTTATTGAAATTGGACCCGTTCTTCCAACTGTTCATGAGGAGGGACGAAATAGCCCTCTATTAAAGTTTGAGAGGGATCAGATTTCTTTTCAATCACATGGGTTGCACAACAACATGGAAAGGTGGGTGGGAGGGGGTGAGGGGTGGAAGTATTGTGAGAAGTATATCAGTTCAAATTATTGCCAGGACGCCCGTGTTTAGCACG